GTCGTTGATGATGATGATAATGATGATGATGATGATGATGATGATGATGATGATGATGACCATACCGTCAAGTAATTTCCGCTTTTCCGGAGATTGGTATCGAATAGTAAAAGTCTGTGCTCGGTATACATCTGGAGCAGACGATTTCCGTTGTACATGCATCTCGTATCCAACCCACTATGACCACCTAATGGACCTCAGCAGCGCTTGGATCATCTTCCTGGGCGTTCATGTCACCAGCAACCACAACGGTGTCTGAGCTTTTAGCCCGGTGTAAAAGAGCACTTAGAGCACCATAGATCTTTGGCAGCTTTAGAGCTATGGTCTTTTGGGATGTAAGCAGTCGCAATAAACAGTTTGCGAGACTCTCAGAGACGTTGCCAAACAAGCCGCGCAGAGGTGACTATTAACGGGCATCCAAGCAGAGACCGTACGCTCGGTCGTTGAGTAGAATACCCAGGCCGGCATATCACATCACGGTAAGGTTCAGTCTCTTTGTGACGGATGGTGTGTATCAAAGTACAATGAGTGGTATAGTATTGTGGACTGCGAAACTTAGCTACTACGAGTGGAGGATCTGAGACATTTGTAGGTTTTTGATCCTCTGCGGGCATTGGTTAGAATTGAAGACTTCTCGCGTAATTTATCATGGAACGAGTGTTTAGTGAAGTGGACCGTACTTTACTTGAGGAATGCCTTCAGCACCGCTGGCTAAGAAGGCTGGGCCGTTTACTATGGGTGTCGAGTTACCATTTACCGATGGTGTTGTGTTCCGTATGTAATTCAGAGTGGCGGAAACCTAGAACTAGACATAATGACCTGGTAGAAAAGAATGGCATATTTTGCGGGAAGCCTTGGTTTCAAGATGGAACTCCCGTGGTCCTCTTTGTGCTTAAATCTAAATGCCGAAAGGCGACTACCCGATATCAGTGGCGTTCATGATATCAATTCCTATATGGATTTCCCTGGTGAGTGTTGGAGTTTTAGGCACCGTAGAGTTGTGTGGTAAGTTTGCCGACGTTGTCCTTTTCTGTCCCTTTTTTCGTTTTGATGCTTTTCCCAAGTAGTGCTGTACGGCAGTGAAACACTAATGTTCTGTGCTAATGATGATTTTATCGAAGTACACGCTCCACATGGTAGCATCCATTTTCGTCGCTGCGTGACAGCAAAATCGTTCATATTCTATTTTTTGGGCGTCAACGTTTGCTGTATCGGAAGAGTATGCAAGACATGGCAACGGTGTTTCATCTTTAGATAGATAAGGCAAACTGTTGGCAATTTACTCTAGGCATTCAGCGGCCATGAGACCAAGTCCAGTGGTGTGCTGAACTTGAAGGATGAGGGCGCCTTTCAGGCAGCAGCATGTACATTGTGAGGTCGGAAACTTATGTTGAAATGGGTTTCACTTTTACATATGTTGGATGGCCCGGCAGTGGCTTATCTGTTGCCGTCCCTTCCGGTTTGTACGGTAGCAACGCATTGGAAAAATGCCGCTGCTGTTCATTTATTCTTACAAGCCCGTGCATGCTCTATGCCGTACGAGTACGAGACTAAATCTTTGCGGTGCAGAAATATGCGAAAGCTGTAGGTTGCCTGACTACTGGTGCCTGAGAGTCATAGCTAAGAGGTGAGTCGATCGGGCTTTTGATGAAACAGTTCGACGACACTATTACTGTATATCAAAATTGGTTGCACACATTCAACAACATCAAGGGCAATCGTTTGGCAATGCACCACACAAATCGGATGACAAGCTTATGAAAGTATTAGTATGGTGAGCAACTACATAATGATTGCTGGAGGAATATTCAGTGTCTAGGAGTTGGGCAATAGGGGCACTAGAGCTTCAAAGCAAAGCAACATATTGTTAAGCAATCCGGCAAACGGTTCTGCAACGGGGACTACAAAGCAAGGCAACAACAAGGCTAGATTCATGACATCGGGTTTGTGTCGGAGTTCGCGCTGTCATCCAAATGGGAACGACAGAAGATCTACTCGTACCGTCAAGTGGAACATTGATAATCCCTGCCTTCATCATTGTTTCAATGTTCGATATTGCAAGTTGAAATTGTTAAGAGGGTCAGATTTTTTGAAAATTCCCTCATAAACCTAGTGGGGACCGCCAGTCCTGCCGAAATCGCTTCAGGGAAGTCACCGAGTCTCCAGGCCAGAAAAGCCCACCGCCGATTAAAAACCTATGCCTTCAGTCAACGACGCTCAAATGTTCAATTCTGCTCTAGAAGTGGTGCCACGATACACTCGACGTCGATCGAACATCCTTGATCCCTTGTAAAAGGTTGTTGCAACCAAAGCCTCGGGTTATAACATTTTACCCCATTATGCTGTGCTCTAACTTCAAACTTGTCATGCCGAAAATGCGCTTGAAATACCGCCTCTCTCCTGTATTTCCGCCTTCGTGTGTTCGCAATAATCCTGTTGTATGCTTATTTGGTGTCTTTTTCCCGTCACTAGGGTTCTGGAGCTGCGGTTTGTAATAGTTCACAACAGGACCGGATCGTTATTCGCGCAGACTGCCGCAGCTTGTTGGGCATGGGCGACTGCACGATGTGGACAGAACGGGACTGTTTTCCAGCAGGGGAGCAAGATGGCTCAGTAGTTAAAGCGCGAATTTACTAACCGGAAAGTCCGTGGTTCGAACCCGACCTCTGCCTCTCGACTTCCCCTGTTCAGGCTTGGGCAACCTGACAGTATCCCAGCCCTCGTGCTTCCCTCTGGTGCAATGGCAGTTAGGTACCGAAAGGGTACTACAGCCGAATGATTTTTTTTATTCTCCAGCAGAAGTCAGCGATATGGTAGCCCGTTGGCGTGATGTGAAACTATCCACTTGCAGATTGCTACGTAGATGGCATGATATCGCTCGACGATATCTCTCGTCGTACCACTAGTCCTTGTTGTAAGGTTCATCGGTTGGCATGCGGACGAAATTCACCCTGGCCCTCTGAGTGACCGCCTCCACCAAAAGGATGTGAACCGAAAAAATTTTTCTAAGGGATCGCGGTTCACATTATGTTTCCCGCTGAATCGGGGCTCATACTTATCCACCATGAGATAGCTGAAAAGAACCGAGCGTTATCGGTGAGCATGGTTATAGCTAAACAAAATATCGTTCAACTTAATACCCTTTTCGGTGCCTAGCTGCCATGCCACCCAAAGGAAGCACGAGGGCTGGGATACTGTCAGGTTGCCCGAGCCCGAACAGGGGAAGTCGGGAGGCAGAGGTCGGGTTTGAAACACGGACCTTGCGGTCAGTGAATTCGCGCTCTGAACACTGAGCCACCTCGCCCCCTTATAGTCATACCAAACAACTATGAAACGCCATAGGAATAACTTCATCACTGAGCTAGTTGCCTCATCATTTCAATCGGGTTAGTTCAAGTATGTAATTAAATATCGCTGGGTGTGTTAGCATCCTTGACTACTAACAGATAGTGCTTGCCAACCTTTTTGTTTCACATTCTCTTCTACACCCGGTTTGGGGCGATTGCCGCAACGGCCATTTAAAGCTACATTTCGTGCGACGCAGAACGGTTTTGCGCGTTCACCGTCCCGGTAAATTCTCTTTGAAAGGGGTTGGGCGGGGAGGAATGTAACCGCTTTCTGTGGAAGTCCGATCACTAGACGATCCATATTCCTTATGTCGGCGACCAGTTGTAGTAAAGACGTGGAGTGAGGCTGTTTGTACCCCGCAGTCTGACCTGTCTTTGGATAGCCACTGGTCTTTATGTTTTTCTATCTATTGTTTCAAAGGGTTATTTCCTTCAGGAACCAATGCTGCTGACAGTGCTACAGAAATGTCTCTTTTGAGGACACCCAACTGCTACATCCTTCAATATTCCTTTATGACTTTTTATTTGTGACGATCAAGATGTTACTATCCGATCGATTGGTTTCCACTTATGAGATCGTTCATCTAAACGTGGGTGGACGAAAGTAGTTTCAATTTTTCCTGTAAATCAGCCTCGCTAATCATGCAGATTTTCCACATCACGCAACACCTTACTGTGGAGTGGAGATTCTTTCTTCAGTGTGTAAGTTTGAAGTTACGCAAAATGTAGTTTACAAAATGTGGTTGAAGCCTCCTAGGTGGTCGGATTCCCTCTTGTAAGGACGAAGATGGCGCGGTAAGTCTGGACTGGACAAATTTCAGCCTCTGCAGTATTTTATTGACCGTGATCCAGATCTGTTTGCTGTCATACTGAACTATCTCCGTACACGGGAGCTAAATGTGTCAGGGATAGATCCCATCACTCTACGGAACGAAGCTGAATTTTACGGATTGGATTCATTAGGTTTGTTCTTCTATTATCCAACCTACTTGATCATGTAGTCAAAAAGCTTTCTCTTTGCGAGGAGGTATTTACAGGAAATTGTGGTGATCTCTTGTTCCACGGGTATTTCCCCTCACCATGTGAGTACACTTGCTATTTTTAAATGTTGATTTCTGTTGAATGTCGTAGTAGCTAGTGAGTTTCCTGAATATAGGTTTCTTCTAACCGTACTTTATTTGCTTACATATTGTGGCTTCGTCGAGGTGACCTTTAATTATTCTTTGCTAAAGTGTAGCAGGGAGAACTTATTGTCAGTGACAGCTGGAAGAACATATGTTTTTCTGGGTTTTCTTAGTAGTTCGATGTGACTTCTGCCCCTCCTGACACCACAGCCAGGCACCCACGTAAAAATGGTGAATACTAAGAAATGCGCGTGATATTGTTTGAGACTCAAGATGAATACACGTTCGGACCATGTCTTGAGTATTTGTTATCACATGCATATCTTGCGAGGTCTTATTCCTAGAAGACAGTAGCTGCCGAAGTGACTGAGTTTACGGATTAGCGGTTTTATGTCTTACTACCAGGTCCCATTGAGTAGTGAAGACAGATCGTTCAGCTGTAACACCCTTCCGGTGCCTAGCGGCCATGCTACCCCACGAGGTTGTCAGGTTTCTAAAGCCTAGACAGGAGAAGTCGAGAGGCAGAGGTCGGGTTCGAACCACGGTCAGTAACTTCGCGCTCTAACCACCTGAGCCATCTCGTCCCCAGTTTTCAGAAACGTGGAAGATTCATTTGAATATGGGTAAGAGCGCAGTCAATCTTGAACAACCAGTGAATACGACGAAGATGGTTGTACGGCAGTGAAGCATCAGTACTAACGCTGGTGTTGCTGTCTTTGACGATGATGATGATAATGAATACGACGGGGCTAGTTTTGCTACCTCTGAACACAAAATAACCACTTGAGCTATCGCATGCCGGTTCGATGCGGAGCCCTGATTGGGAGTACCACTTGAAGTTCCTGCAATACGCCACATGCTTCACAGTCATTCATCTACACCTGTTTGGATTGATTTTTGATCGCCTAAATATGGGCACGGGCAACCTAGCAGTATTAGTCATTGCGTTGCTTTGTTCAAGCTGCCATTCGGGTTTGTCACGACTGGGTCATTGGTGTGAATTGAGTTCACAGATTTACCTCAAGGTATCTGCGAATTGAGCTGGAGAGCTTCAGTTTTAGCTATGGCATTCCAACACCCTGCCACGAGTTCGGCCTGTGTGATTTCTTGGAATTATATGGCCGCTATCTGCCTATTAAGATGACATCAGTAATGGTCATTCTCATTTCACCCTTCTTGGTCACTCGCTCTTCTATCAAAGTAATTAAAGTGAAATAGAAAACGCTTTTTTAATTCCTGAACTATTTTGTTCTCTTTCCAGTTCTGCGGACGGAAGAATTGAAAATTGCTACGGAGTAAGTAGACACTGGTTCTCTGTTTCCACCATCTTGAGGAGAAAAAGGTGGTCGGTTGTCTTTTGTGAACCAACAGATTCACGAATCTGTAAATCCATTGGAGGGAAACTTTCCATATTTTGTGCTCAGGGTGCAACATGGACACCTCTTTGCAAGCTGTCACCTCTCCCGAGGTAGTTCAATGGTTAAGGCACCAGCTTACGGGCCGAAAGGTGCGCGGTTTGAACCCAACCTCATCATCTGGACTCCTCATGTCTAGGCTTGGACAACCTGGAAGTATCCCACTCATGGTGGATCCTTCCGTTAGCATGGCAGCTTTGCACCAAGAGGGTGCTACATCTGAACGACGATTCTCCCCCTTTTAATGTAGGGTCTAATTTCACGAGTTTGCTATATTACTACTTCGCGTAACACCCATAACTTCCAAGAAAGTGAACACTAATATGCCGTGCAATAGAAAAGGGCTTACTGAAAATTAACTAACAGTGTAAAGTCACTGTTTTCCAAGACGAATGCACTTCATCCGGACACACAGCTCATTAATTGCAGTCAACTGATTGCAAAGCACTCGCTACATAAATAGTAGCGCTTTTGTTTCATGAACATATTTCTGCTGTTGTTCCAGCCAGTCAGATAAAATCGTTACATATCGTTACATAGCTCATTTTCATCAACAACTTGGAACGGTAACCCTCTCGCCACACCTACCAATACTTCTGTCGTATACGGAAATTGCGCCACTGTACTACCCGGTACGTACCCTGAGTCCGATGATGGTGGCAAACCCGTCGAAATTAGAAGAGGTATGTAAACTAATAGTACATATGGTTACCAGCGGTTAAGGTACTCCTGTTTTTACGCACCATTTATATCAGCCACTGCCTCCAATGCGCAGCTATCTACTCCACATCCCCAAATCGTGGGCGAACGAAAATGTGGCAGCTATAACTACTGTACGACAAGCACGATGTTTTTACAGCTGCTCCTTCCGCTGAAAACCCCTCTGTCTTGGGCTTATCATCACCAGTCACTAGTTAACACTAGTCGCCCTGAATCAGCCATGGCGTAGGCGTGACATAATTTGATGTCTAGGAGTTGGGCAATAGGGGCACTAGAGCTTCAAAGCAAAGCAACATATTGTTAAGCAATCCGGCAAACGGTTCTGCAACGGGGACTACAAAGCAAGGCAACAACAAGGCTAGATTCATGACATCGGGTTTGTGTCGGAGTTCGCGCTGTCATCCAAATGGGAACGACAGAAGATCTACTCGTACCGTCAAGTGGAACATTGATAATCCCTGCCTTCATCATTGTTTCAATGTTCGATATTGCAAGTTGAAATTGTTAAGAGGGTCAGATTTTTTGAAAATTCCCTCATAAACCTAGTGGGGACCGCCAGTCCTGCCGAAATCGCTTCAGGGAAGTCACCGAGTCTCCAGGCCAGAAAAGCCCACCGCCGATTAAAAACCTATGCCTTCAGTCAACGACGCTCAAATGTTCAATTCTGCTCTAGAAGTGGTGCCACGATACACTCGACGTCGATCGAACATCCTTGATCCCTTGTAAAAGGTTGTTGCAACCAAAGCCTCGGGTTATAACATTTTACCCCATTATGCTGTGCTCTAACTTCAAACTTGTCATGCCGAAAATGCGCTTGAAATACCGCCTCTCTCCTGTATTTCCGCCTTCGTGTGTTCGCAATAATCCTGTTGTATGCTTATTTGGTGTCTTTTTCCCGTCACTAGGGTTCTGGAGCTGCGGTTTGTAATAGTTCACAACAGGACCGGATCGTTATTCGCGCAGACTGCCGCAGCTTGTTGGGCATGGGCGACTGCACGATGTGGACAGAACGGGACTGTTTTCCAGCAGGGGAGCAAGATGGCTCAGTAGTTAAAGCGCGAATTTACTAACCGGAAAGTCCGTGGTTCGAACCCGACCTCTGCCTCTCGACTTCCCCTGTTCAGGCTTGGGCAACCTGACAGTATCCCAGCCCTCGTGCTTCCCTCTGGTGCAATGGCAGTTAGGTACCGAAAGGGTACTACAGCCGAATGATTTTTTTTATTCTCCAGCAGAAGTCAGCGATATGGTAGCCCGTTGGCGTGATGTGAAACTATCCACTTGCAGATTGCTACGTAGATGGCATGATATCGCTCGACGATATCTCTCGTCGTACCACTAGTCCTTGTTGTAAGGTTCATCGGTTGGCATGCGGACGAAATTCACCCTGGCCCTCTGAGTGACCGCCTCCACCAAAAGGATGTGAACCGAAAAAATTTTTCTAAGGGATCGCGGTTCACATTATGTTTCCCGCTGAATCGGGGCTCATACTTATCCACCATGAGATAGCTGAAAAGAACCGAGCGTTATCGGTGAGCATGGTTATAGCTAAACAAAATATCGTTCAACTGTAATACCCTTTCGGTGCCTAGCTGCCATGCCACCCAAAGGAAGCACGAGGGCTGGGATACTGTCAGGTTGCCCGAGCCCGAACAGGGGAAGTCGGGAGGCAGAGGTCGGGTTTGAAACACGGACCTTGCGGTCAGTGAATTCGCGCTCTGAACACTGAGCCACCTCGCCCCCTTATAGTCATACCAAACAACTATGAAACGCCATAGGAATAACTTCATCACTGAGCTAGTTGCCTCATCATTTCAATCGGGTTAGTTCAAGTATGTAATTAAATATCGCTGGGTGTGTTAGCATCCTTGACTACTAACAGATAGTGCTTGCCAACCTTTTTGTTTCACATTCTCTTCTACACCCGGTTTGGGGCGATTGCCGCAACGGCCATTTAAAGCTACATTTCGTGCGACGCAGAACGGTTTTGCGCGTTCACCGTCCCGGTAAATTCTCTTTGAAAGGGGTTGGGCGGGGAGGAATGTAACCGCTTTCTGTGGAAGTCCGATCACTAGACGATCCATATTCCTTATGTCGGCGACCAGTTGTAGTAAAGACGTGGAGTGAGGCTGTTTGTACCCCGCAGTCTGACCTGTCTTTGGATAGCCACTGGTCTTTATGTTTTTCTATCTATTGTTTCAAAGGGTTATTTCCTTCAGGAACCAATGCTGCTGACAGTGCTACAGAAATGTCTCTTTTGAGGACACCCAACTGCTACATCCTTCAATATTCCTTTATGACTTTTTATTTGTGACGATCAAGATGTTACTATCCGATCGATTGGTTTCCACTTATGAGATCGTTCATCTAAACGTGGGTGGACGAAAGTAGTTTCAATTTTTCCTGTAAATCAGCCTCGCTAATCATGCAGATTTTCCACATCACGCAACACCTTACTGTGGAGTGGAGATTCTTTCTTCAGTGTGTAAGTTTGAAGTTACGCAAAATGTAGTTTACAAAATGTGGTTGAAGCCTCCTAGGTGGTCGGATTCCCTCTTGTAAGGACGAAGATGGCGCGGTAAGTCTGGACTGGACAAATTTCAGCCTCTGCAGTATTTTATTGACCGTGATCCAGATCTGTTTGCTGTCATACTGAACTATCTCCGTACACGGGAGCTAAATGTGTCAGGGATAGATCCCATCACTCTACGGAACGAAGCTGAATTTTACGGATTGGATTCATTAGGTTTGTTCTTCTATTATCCAACCTACTTGATCATGTAGTCAAAAAGCTTTCTCTTTGCGAGGAGGTATTTACAGGAAATTGTGGTGATCTCTTGTTCCACGGGTATTTCCCCTCACCATGTGAGTACACTTGCTATTTTTAAATGTTGATTTCTGTTGAATGTCGTAGTAGCTAGTGAGTTTCCTGAATATAGGTTTCTTCTAACCGTACTTTATTTGCTTACATATTGTGGCTTCGTCGAGGTGACCTTTAATTATTCTTTGCTAAAGTGTAGCAGGGAGAACTTATTGTCAGTGACAGCTGGAAGAACATATGTTTTTCTGGGTTTTCTTAGTAGTTCGATGTGACTTCTGCCCCTCCTGACACCACAGCCAGGCACCCACGTAAAAATGGTGAATACTAAGAAATGCGCGTGATATTGTTTGAGACTCAAGATGAATACACGTTCGGACCATGTCTTGAGTATTTGTTATCACATGCATATCTTGCGAGGTCTTATTCCTAGAAGACAGTAGCTGCCGAAGTGACTGAGTTTACGGATTAGCGGTTTTATGTCTTACTACCAGGTCCCATTGAGTAGTGAAGACAGATCGTTCAGCTGTAACACCCTTCCGGTGCCTAGCGGCCATGCTACCCCACGAGGTTGTCAGGTTTCTAAAGCCTAGACAGGAGAAGTCGAGAGGCAGAGGTCGGGTTCGAACCACGGTCAGTAACTTCGCGCTCTAACCACCTGAGCCATCTCGTCCCCAGTTTTCAGAAACGTGGAAGATTCATTTGAATATGGGTAAGAGCGCAGTCAATCTTGAACAACCAGTGAATACGACGAAGATGGTTGTACGGCAGTGAAGCATCAGTACTAACGCTGGTGTTGCTGTCTTTGACGATGATGATGATAATGAATACGACGGGGCTAGTTTTGCTACCTCTGAACACAAAATAACCACTTGAGCTATCGCATGCCGGTTCGATGCGGAGCCCTGATTGGGAGTACCACTTGAAGTTCCTGCAATACGCCACATGCTTCACAGTCATTCATCTACACCTGTTTGGATTGATTTTTGATCGCCTAAATATGGGCACGGGCAACCTAGCAGTATTAGTCATTGCGTTGCTTTGTTCAAGCTGCCATTCGGGTTTGTCACGACTGGGTCATTGGTGTGAATTGAGTTCACAGATTTACCTCAAGGTATCTGCGAATTGAGCTGGAGAGCTTCAGTTTTAGCTATGGCATTCCAACACCCTGCCACGAGTTCGGCCTGTGTGATTTCTTGGAATTATATGGCCGCTATCTGCCTATTAAGATGACATCAGTAATGGTCATTCTCATTTCACCCTTCTTGGTCACTCGCTCTTCTATCAAAGTAATTAAAGTGAAATAGAAAACGCTTTTTTAATTCCTGAACTATTTTGTTCTCTTTCCAGTTCTGCGGACGGAAGAATTGAAAATTGCTACGGAGTAAGTAGACACTGGTTCTCTGTTTCCACCATCTTGAGGAGAAAAAGGTGGTCGGTTGTCTTTTGTGAACCAACAGATTCACGAATCTGTAAATCCATTGGAGGGAAACTTTCCATATTTTGTGCTCAGGGTGCAACATGGACACCTCTTTGCAAGCTGTCACCTCTCCCGAGGTAGTTCAATGGTTAAGGCACCAGCTTACGGGCCGAAAGGTGCGCGGTTTGAACCCAACCTCATCATCTGGACTCCTCATGTCTAGGCTTGGACAACCTGGAAGTATCCCACTCATGGTGGATCCTTCCGTTAGCATGGCAGCTTTGCACCAAGAGGGTGCTACATCTGAACGACGATTCTCCCCCTTTTAATGTAGGGTCTAATTTCACGAGTTTGCTATATTACTACTTCGCGTAACACCCATAACTTCCAAGAAAGTGAACACTAATATGCCGTGCAATAGAAAAGGGCTTACTGAAAATTAACTAACAGTGTAAAGTCACTGTTTTCCAAGACGAATGCACTTCATCCGGACACACAGCTCATTAATTGCAGTCAACTGATTGCAAAGCACTCGCTACATAAATAGTAGCGCTTTTGTTTCATGAACATATTTCTGCTGTTGTTCCAGCCAGTCAGATAAAATCGTTACATATCGTTACATAGCTCATTTTCATCAACAACTTGGAACGGTAACCCTCTCGCCACACCTACCAATACTTCTGTCGTATACGGAAATTGCGCCACTGTACTACCCGGTACGTACCCTGAGTCCGATGATGGTGGCAAACCCGTCGAAATTAGAAGAGGTATGTAAACTAATAGTACATATGGTTACCAGCGGTTAAGGTACTCCTGTTTTTACGCACCATTTATATCAGCCACTGCCTCCAATGCGCAGCTATCTACTCCACATCCCCAAATCGTGGGCGAACGAAAATGTGGCAGCTATAACTACTGTACGACAAGCACGATGTTTTTACAGCTGCTCCTTCCGCTGAAAACCCCTCTGTCTTGGGCTTATCATCACCAGTCACTAGTTAACACTACCTGAACTGAATCAGCCATGGCGTAGGCGTGACATAATTTGAGGGCAAGTTGGCTGAGTGGTTAGAGCGCGAATTTACTGACCGAAGTAGATCGAATCGAACCCGACCTCCGCCTCTCGACTTCCCCTGTTCAGGCTTGGGCAACCTGGAAGTATCCCAACCCTCATGCTTCTTTCTGGTGCCTTGGCAGCTAGGCACCGAAAGGGTGCTACAGCTGAATGATCGGTCGTGACATTAGTTTATCCGTCAAGGGTCAAGTTTACAATGACTCAATGCACTCCATATTATTTGACGGGCCAGAAACGTGGCCGCTGCGTTCTGAAGGTATCAAAAGACTTTGAGTGTTTTCCCATCGATGTCTTCGGAGCGCTACGTGGGTCTGGTGGGAACACCAGATTAGCACTGTTGAAGCATGTCGGATGGTTTTCGGGAGAAATAACTCGCTAACGGCAGATGAACTGATCACACTATAGGTTTCGCTGGCCTGGCCACGTGTTCCGTATATAAGTCGACCTGAAGGGTTTTTTTTAGCACGACCACGTTAAGAGTGGAAACGAGCCAGGGGAGGTCGAACAACGATTTGGCAGGGAAGTGTGAAAGCCACTACCAGCAAACTCATCTGCGCTGGTCATTGCCGTCTTCCTGGATGGGGACCCCGAGACGGGACACAATGGTTAGAGACATTACTGGACATGACACAGTCGTTCCCTCAATGGCTCTCATGCGTCCAAGCAATTGCCTTCAATGCATAGCTCCCCAGTCCACTGAAAACCCTACATTAATGCATCGATTACCTCACTTACTGTCTCCATCGCACAGCTATCCCCCCACTTCCCCAACTCATCGGTGAACGAAAATGTGGCAACTGGAACCACCGTGCGGCAAGTACACGGTTTTTAAAGCTTCTGAAGAACAGGTGTGTACTCCTGTCTAAGTAGTAGCTAGCTAGAAAACGCGTGGAATTGGGTGCCAAACTGCTAAGTTTCACTTACTACATACTGTCTCCTCTCCAATGTAGATATCTCGTCTCGCATAAACGACCTTATCGTGACGGTTTATACACCTTGATAGCTCATCCGGCGATGTCGTGTGTACATGTGTTCGCTACAATAATGCTAATGGTTTTGGACAAACACGGGTTGGGCATTGGAACAACCAGGGTTTTCTTGACATGCGAGCCAATCAGAAGTTTTCTGAGAACCCGCTAACGGTACCACCATCTTTGGGACTCATCAGGTAGGCCTAGTCCTCAAAATCGGCTGAATTGCACGTTCAGCATACTCTTCCGTTAAGTTTTCCCTTGACACCAGCTTAAATCGAGAATGAGTGTAATTCACTTTGGTGTTCAGATGCAAAACCCGGGGACTAGGCTTACTTGATGAGTCACAAAAAGGAGGAAACTGGTTGTGGGCTGTCGAAGGGCTTTCGGAATCCCTATAGTTAGTGTCCATACTGCAGTTTCTCAAATGTCGTACCAACTGAACCATGTTCAGTTGATCATCTATGAACTGTGTACCATAGTTGCATTTATTGTAGTTGCTATAATTTCGATCGCCGGCAAGTGGGAGGGTGTGGGACATACAGCCAAGCCTTAGAGGTAACGGCAAGGTGAAGTCGGTAGCTGTTGATAGCTTTGATACACGGGCTCCACTGACCGCGCGATTGGGCCATTTCTGCCAGTGTCATTAACCATCGGTGAGTTGGGTCACATGGTCTCCATCTTGGGAGGCGGCAGTTGTCGACCCGACTGGTTGATGTTTTCATGCTTTGTTGCCAGGTCATATACTATCTATCGCTCTGTCGCTTAGCCTCAGAACAGAGCTGGGGAAAAAGAGTTGTGTGAGGCGGACGATCTTCTGGCACGCGGTGTACATGTCCTCATCAGGGTCACCTGTGCAGCGTGAGTAACCCTTCTCTTGCTGGAGAGTTACTTCTCACCACTACTAATTCCATGTTCCCACCAGACCCGACTTATGCTTCGGAGACACCGATGATCGAATACTGATATCTTTCGCATGTGTTCTGTACGTGGATGCCACGTCTCTGATTCACAAACCAGTATGTATCTTACTGCCACAATGCCAACTCTGGCTTTGACAGACCAGCTGACGTCAGGTCGGCACCATAGGTATCCGACGTTGACAAAATCCGCCCGAGTCTTCCTCATTCGATAAGTAATCTCATCTTCAGCCAGTCCACCGGAACTCAGGTCTGAAAGCATGAGGTTTGGGTTCGATCCCACCCAGTCTTATAGCAGCACTTTACATTTTACAGGTGTGAAGCGCATGGCGAACCGTGCAGCAGAGTTTTGGATTTTTGAAGGATCTGAATCAGGATCACCACTATCGTCCGCATTCTCAGTTTCTGTGAGTGAACGTCCCGGGACACTCCAGGGGAGACCAACCCCCTTCCCATGTATCGAAACTTTCTTGAGGAGGATCATTGTACACAAGCTCATCCAGCCTCATTCAGCTCCTTGTCTCGATTCCCCCACTCCACAAAGAAGGATGTTTGCCTTTTCCATTTCATTCTCACATGACATCTTTCCACTCATTCTCGGTTCGATGTGGTTGTTCGACTTCCTCACATTGTAGGAATCCTCAAGAGCCCATCCCGAAACCCACAGTTTCCGACGCCACGACCAATCGCGATCGTCCTTCCCCAACAACTTCCAATACAGCTCCTGTCACTCTTATTGCTTGTCACCAAAATCTGATGGCAGTCGTCTATCAAGATTGTGTTGGTGTTTTCCAGTGAGTTCCATTTTCGCACACACACACACACACACACACACACACACACACACACACACACACACACACACACACACACACACACACACACACACACACACACACACACACACACACACAATCTCTTTCAAACCAAACCACTTTTTCCTCATACAATCGATCGCTGCTTACTCTGTTTTCGTTTGTTTTAGTCTTAAAGACCCGACCGGGTGGCATCTAGTATGGTTGAGCCCCAGTCTTTCCGCCCCGATCGACCGTTTAGCTTTGACGACAAAGCACACCGGCACCGTTGGGCTTGGCGTACTTTTCAACCCGCAGGTTGCAGTTGGCTCGGGTGCTTCATCATTTTCAGCCGCCTCTTCAGGTCCAACGATTGCTCCCGCCGTTCAGCAAAACATTGCACAGCCTGTGCAAGGGTCTTTACCAAGTGTTCCTACATCATTTTCCACGACAGGTGCAAGTAGTCCTTCGATGACTTCATGCTCTTCGCAACTGCCGGCGCAGGCTGCACAAGCACCGCCCGTACCACCCCATCAGTCTGCTCCCTCACCAACAGCGCCAGGCATTAGTGCTTCCGGATGTATGGTTGCTGCGGCGGTCGGTTCCACAATCTCTGTATGGTGTCTTTACCCTCCACCTTCAAGTGTCAACCCAGCCGTCGCATCACTTGGTGGGGTAATGGGTGTCTCTATTTCACCGGCTACGTATGGACTTTCGCCGGCGATTTCATTTATGGCTTCAGGTGTTTCAGGAACAACAGGGCACTTCAACACCTCGCTGCCCCGGTCGAACGACCCGTGGGCGAGTGAACTGGTGAGCATGTGTGCATCAGTTACGAATGGTTGCAATCAAATTCCTTTCTAATTTGTTCTAATCCGTCGCTTTCGTGGTGGTTTTCCCCCAACTGTTTTTGTGTTTTCAACATCTTGAAAGTGTATAACACTCCACTTAGAGTTTATGCATGACATACTGGATTTTTTATCCTGATGTTATTCGGGTCCCGATTGGGTTACTTTGACGCCCACCGGTGAGCTTCGGAGAACCTAATGGTTAGAGTGCAACATGCTGGCCAGGGAATTCGTGATTTCATCCGATTCGTGGTTTCTTCATTGCTCCTATCTGAGGTGGCCCAAGTAGGTAGAGCGCGAATTTACTGGCCGGAAGGTTCGTGGTTCGAACTTGACCTCCGCCTCTCGACTTCCCCCGTCCAGGTTTGGGTAATCTGGCAGTATCCCAGCTTCCTTCGGGTGGCATGGCAATTAGGCACCGAAAGGTTGCTACAGCTAGACGCACCCTATCTGAATTTTGCCAAACTGACAGTATTTCAACCTCAAAGACTCATTTATGTTGGATGACCACTATGCACGGAAACGGTGCCGCAGCTGGACGGGTTGATTTCTGTGTTGGTATGCGACTTATGTATCAGTGTTTACTGCGGATTCGAGCAATAGTTGCGACGAGGTTGACTCTAAAATTCAGTAGGGACGGGGGAGAAGATATACTACTCTGGGCATTAGAAGTTCATCGCCGATCCGTGAAATTCGTGCTTGAGCCATTGAACTTCTCGTAGAGATATTGCATAAGATAACGCTTTCTATAGCATTTGGTCTCCGGCACTTTCAGTACTGGAGGTGGTCACACTAGCCGCCTGGTAAACCATAGTGAAGATGAGTCAAATTCAGTAATGTCCCGAATACTGCCGCCCACTACGGATGGCCGGTGGCAAGATAGACCCAGTGTAGATCCTTTTTGTTTTGTTCCAACGCCCTTTCGGTCCCTGGCTGCCATGCCACCTGAAGCGAGTACGAGGACTGGGCTACTGCTACCAGGTTGCTCAAGCCTAGACAGGAGAAGTCGAGAGGCAGAGGTCAGGTTCGAACCACGGTTAGTATTCGCGCACTAACCACTGAGCTATCTCGAGTTTTATCGGAATGACTCGTATGCACTACGTGATTGTAGTCGATCAATATCAGCCCGCATTGTTGATTTTCCAACTGCCCTCCCACTGGGCAGCGCCACCCTGAAGACGGCGGTGGGGACCCTTTTGTTGACCGGTTAACCCAACCTAGGGCAAACCACTGCCAGGTTTCGATGCTCTTTTTAGATGTTCTAAACTCTGTGCTGTCACAACGTGCAGCTTTTGTACGAAACAACTGGTCCGGTCCACTGCAGTAGCCAATTGAATAAGCCCATCAACATAGCTATGAAGTGGCCTTTGTTGAAAAACAACGAACGAAACATCAGGTCGAAGCTCGTCTGACTCTCTCGTTCACACCCGTTGGGCACACAACTGAGTTGTTCAAAAAGTGTTGGTCGCAGCTTTTATGCTTCACCATACTGACACCCGATACGAACGAAACTTGCCTTGTCTCCAGGTATATCATGTGTTCAATGTACGTTCATAGAAGGTTGGCGTTCCGTAGGTATACGATCACGAGCTAATGGTTTATCGATCTTGTTTGTCGTTTAGGTTGCTTTCTCTACAAAATCGAAATCTTTCAGCTGTAGCACCCTTTCGGTGCCTAGCTGCCATGCCACACGAAGGAAGCACGAGGGCTGGGATACCGCAAGGTTGCCCAAGCCTAGACAGTGAAAGTCGAGAGGCAGAGGTCCGGTTCGAACCACGGACCTTCTGGTCAGTAAATTCGCGCTCTTACCACGTGGTCCATCACGCCCAGAAGATGCTCTCAAATAATTCATACAGAAACCTTGTGGTTTATACTGGTTTAGCTCTGGTATACTACACATCAGATGATGTGTGAATCAGATGTGAACTTTATTTCTGAGTAGAACAGAGCTGCTCGTCAGTTGATGAGTGGGCAACTGAGCAACAAACCTGTCGTCTGCGGGGATATTTTTTTCTTAGAGAGGGGGGCATTGTGCTTGCTTCCAACACAGATGAACATGTTCGAATGTCTTGATCATCTTGATGGCACAACTCGTACTTACCCGGTCCACGCAACGGACGATAGTTCACATTTTCTCACATTGGAACTGGTGTTTCATTCAGTTAACGGGTGTTGTTCACTAAGTGATGTTCATTCCTTTTCAATCATGGCTTTCAGGAGGAACGCCACACCGGTCGACATGATTCTTTTCTGTAACTCGCTTACTGCTTTTAGATTGGTCGATTCGATCTGAACAAACGCGCCGTTGATTATCTCATGTTTATCGGTGCTAAATTGGTTGCCTTGAGTCGCCGCGGTCTCGTTGGTGTACGCCACTTGGTGACTAATACGTGGCAGGTGAGTCGTGGGCCACAATTCCATCCCGGTCTTGAATCTCTCGCCTCGTCGGTATGTTGTCTGCCTTTTCCTCAACAGGAACCAAACAAGAATTCTTCCTGTTATTCCCCAAATAGCTGCCTATTCGAGCAGCGGAACTGAGACCTATTCAGGTGTTCGACAATCGTTATCTCAGAACCATAGCTCGTGTGGGTTGGTGTCGGTGAATCCGTAACGAGGCAGTTAGAAAGCGCGTTTTTGTTTGTGTAACGGGTAGTTCGATTGAAGAATGTGTCCAGCACCAGAAGCTGCGTTGGTTCGGACATGTGTTACGTATGCCGAATCATCTTTTGCCGAAGAGAGTACTGTTTTCCATTCCCAATTCGGAGTGGCGTAAACAGAGAGGTGGCCAACCCTTGATTTGGCAGAGGAGTATGAAGGAGAGCACGAAACGCTTGGGTGCTGTCGGTACTACTCACCTTCCAGGATGGGGACCGCGTGGTCCTCACTGCGTCTGGTTGGAGATACTACAAGATATGGCTGCCAACCGATGTCAGTGGCGTTCTTGTTGTCAGTTTCTGTCCAGATTGCCTGAATGAATGTCTGGAGGTGTAGGCACCTCGGAATGATTGTGGTAAGCCAGCACAAAGTCCCTTCCCCGTCCACTCTTACTCTTTTCTTTACGGTAAGGCCTTCAAATACATCATGGTTGTACGGCAGTGAAGCATCAGTGTTGAAGACTGATGTCATGCTGTCGTTGATGATGATGATGATGATGGCTTGTTAAACACAGCAGATACGCCATACTCTAACACAGACCACCAGACTTGACGTGACTTTCCACTGATTTCAAGGTCTCACTGTTACCATGCGAATCGGTGGTAGTGAATACGAATCATAGGATGAAGCAGTGTGCAGTGACTATTTATTGGTAGCCTTAGTAGCCTAGTGGATATAATCGTGGATTGCCATTCCATAGACCTAGTTTCGAGCCCTTCAACTTGGTTGCCGGATCCCATCCTCGTGTCCTGCAAGTATGTTTCAGCAATAAAGACGTAAAAACGTAAAAAGCAGGGAATCTGTATGGGGCATGTTGACAAGCGAACATTTTCAGTAATTCCTCATCCGATGATAAAAACCATAGACTCATGGCGTACAAAGTTCGAAACGGAGCGAATTATCAGTTTAACAAAGTGATCGGTCTAAAGGTCATTGAAAGGTGTAGGTTTGGTCTGTGGATGTCATTTGACCACGAGTAGATTGTCGCTGTAACGACCGTTTCGAATTCTTGAGCAACGAGCACCAAGGTTAGCAACCAAACCGGCAAAACTCCGAACGAATGGCTACGCAAATGTGCTGTACTATAAAAAATGAAAGTAGTTACACGGAATACAAAATTACAAACCTCAACGGTTTTCGACAAACGGTGAGGTACTCCAAAAGGCAAGCAAAGCCGATATGGATCAACAGTCAACGCGTGAACGAAACCGCGTCTCAAACTCATGAATTAAAACAATATATAGCTGCCTAAGGATTTGGTACAAAATAGTATAACCAGAGCGGTAAAAACGATTTGCGTGGTAAGAAAAACGGAGAATATAGATATCTTGTAAAACTGAAATAGGGTTCAATTCCACCAGCCCAAAAAAGGGCGGTCCATTTGAATTGTTAACCGGGAAGGCAGTCATTCAAGATTGGAGGCAATTTTAAATATATATG